AAAAAAAAAAAAAAAAAAAAAAAAAAAAAAAAAAAAAAAAACATACAGACGAATTGAGTACCTCCTTCTTTTGGGAAGTCGGTCAAAAATAAATAAATAAATAAATCTTTCTAGTTTATATTGTAAAGTGTAGATGGATGAATGTTTGTTTAAAGCCTAAGCTGCTGAACGGATCTCGATGAAATTTGTCATAGATTTAGAGGTTAAGTTAGGTCTGGAAGAACACAGGCTAATTACTTTTGACGGAATCGCGGGCGATTATGGATGAGGAGATTGTTCATGCTATAATGACTGCCAAGTCTACTTACAAGTTTTATAATTACTGTAAAGGTGAGAGAAATGAAACACTCTTGTCCGATTAAATAGTATTTATTTTATTTATAGTAAAACATAACACATAGTATTTTTATATGATGTTTTTTACATTATAGTTGTTTTTTTTTTATAATATAAGGTGGCATACGAGCAAGCGGCCAGCTGAATCCACCGAAATAGAAAGAGACCGCTGCCCATAAACATCCGCAATTGCAGATGCGTTGCCTACCCTTATTCGACGGAGGAGACGCACATAAAGAGGATATATCCCTATCAACTGCGTCTCCTCCGCCGTCAAATCCACTTTTCCTTCTCATCCTCTCCTCTTAAGAAAAGGGTGGATAGGAAAAGGGACGAAAATTAGGCCTCCGGCACCATCAGACGAAACGCGGAATTGCTTCCACTTCACGCCTGTCTTCTGTGTGGTCGTGGTATTACACCGGGCGAGCCGACCCATTCGTGTGAAGATGTTAAAGCGGGCTCTACCACTTTTAAGATTGTAGTTGTAGCAAAACACTTGAAGATATAAACTATTGATAGATAAATACATTGTTTATGTACTATTATTAGATACCAGACTATAAATAAGGGTCCGTTAGATAATGAAATGCCCAACTATTTTAGGTTATTTCTTGTTTTTTATGCTTTTTACATAATTAAAGTTTATTTAGAGGGGGCGCACATTTAACAAAACTATCGCAAAACTATTTAATCCTCGCTTTGATTCCTATGGAGGCACACTGCTCGATTGTTAGTTGTGCAACTAAACAGTTGTATGGACTGCGAAACAATCTACAATCGCACAACAGTTGTGCTATAGTTTAGTCAAAGGTGTGCCCTTTTTATGTATCTTATACGATAGTTTATTTCTGTTTTATACAATATTTCAAACGAGAGAAGGTCGTTTAATGCTGACGATAGGTGGTCTAATGTTGAGCGGCGGCGTCGAGGGCGCTGGGCCATTTGAAAACTGGCGGACTGAGAGGCGAGACTGGAAACATAAAGTAAGTGTATTCTATATTGTTTACCTTATTTTAGGAAAAATACTCAGATGGTTAGTTTTTTTTTTTGGAAAGGACACCGGTAGTTTTATTTTTTAACAAATATATCTCTGAATAACATAGAATATTTCTAAATGCTTCTACTATTTCCTTCTGAATTTAAATTTCGTTTAAGATAAGTTGTAATCTTTTTTCCCAAATTAAAGCTGTCCTTGTTTTTTATAGGGCAACATCTGTTTATTAAAATTTACCGCGACTCCGTGCGCGTTTAATTTAAAAATAGTAATAAAGAAATAAAAAATATAGCCTCACTTACAGATAAATTACCTTTCTAACGGTGAAAGATTTTTTAAAATCGGACCAGTACTTTTTAAGCCTATTCATTACAATCAAACAAACAAAGTTTTCCTCTTTATAATATTAGTATAGATAACACACTATAATACTTACGTTATTAACTTCTTACTGCCTCCTTATATAAGCTTTTTGGACTAAAAACGACATATAATGCACATAAAACAAACATATAAACCCAACATAAATAACATAGAATTAATTTCGCCACAAAGAAACATTGCAATACCTATTTTTATGTGGTAAATACATTTACTCCGAAAATGGTACAGAGGGTAGATATTAATTAATGAATACCTTTAAGGATATTAGCCACATTTAGCGACATTTAGTTACTTGAATCATTCCATAGCGTAGATTGTTCTTACTGTATCTACGCTAAGGGACATATGGTAAGCTATGATGACGTAATATGTAATCTATAGTTCTATACTATTATAATAAAGCGTAAACACACACTTTGTTGCCTAAGATGTCAGCAATTACAGCATATTTTTGAATAATTCTTTTTCTAATAAAAAGCCTAACACGTCACGCTTTAGGCTATATATTTTCACGCAATTGCACTTAAGGGGTAAATTGGTTAAAAACCCTAATGTGGGAAAGAGACAAAAAGTTGCTGACATCAAGGAAGCAAGATTGCCAAGATTTTCATGTCATGTCATTTTGACATTTGCTATTGATAATTTGACAAATGTAAACGATAAAATAAAGTTTACATAATTTCATGCGGATGAAGTCGCACGGGAACAGCTAGTATATAATGAATATATGACGTATGCTAGGAGCGGGTTAAGGTAACAAAGTTCTAGTTAGAAAATGATAATATTTTTCAAGTGAAATTATTTACAATATCAAGTTTTAATATGTTAATCATAGAGAAAAAAATGATTTGAATTCATTAATAACGTAAATTAGATTTCACAGAATGAAGAGGTAAACGCGGTACCTTCGGCTGAGAAGGGCGTTGCACACCGCTTTATCTAACATACAGAAAACAACAATAAAAAACAAACTACAGGTTGAATAGGTTGTATAGTATTGTATTATCTGTGATTGGATTTTGTTTCTTTATAGGTATTGGTAGTTTGCTGACGTAGTAATGCCAGTAGTAAAAATTCATTTTAAATTTAGTATATTTTCATTTCCAGCAACTTGTTAACATTCATTATTATATAATATTGGTATATTTTTATATGTAAGTGTAAAATTCCTAAATAAACAACAATGAAAGTATTTTGAAAGCCGAATATTAAAAGAATTAAGTGCAGATAATGTATTTATTGAAGATCAATTCAACATATAAGTTTTTTTTTTAAATCCCAACATTAAATGAGCACAAAACATACAAAAACCTCTTGTAAGATTGTGGCATTAAACAATAATAGAAATTAAGAAAGATAAGTCATATCTAGAAATAACAATTACATTGTTATAAAACAAACATAATTTAAAAAAAAATAAACAAAAAGACACAACCTTACAAAATTATAGTAAAATAAAACTGACAAATACGATATTAAAAACAGTTACATGAAACAGTCAAAAGCAGGACACAAAGTTACAACCAGAAATGCTTAAAATTTACGCCCCAGCTTAAAAGACAGTTACAATGATGTCTGCCACACTCACAGTTGCTTGCAGTGTATCCCTAAATGTATTTGATCAGTATATAAGATCTATCTTAAATTAGGCGTATTTGATATAAGACCTTGCTACTATCATCACTAAGTAGTAATATTATTTAAAAGTAACTAAGAAAAATAAATCAAACATATATTTAATTTAAAGTATAGTATTTTTTTAAGATATCAAAATTCTTATAATTAAAAATAGTAAGAAACTCATGATTCATTAATCTTAAATTAATTTACAAAAAAAAAAACTATTTATATAGAAAATGCATAGAAGATAAAAAGATCTAATTCATTAGAGTAAAAATGAAACATGGCAACATCGAGTTACTTAAATATTTTTAAACAGAAAGCGGGAAGATCATAACATAACCTCAAATGTGAAATATAACCGTGATAGGGATGCACGATCAAATCCGATACTTTGGTCGATCGATACCGGTATACGTTTCAGTGTATCGATACGAATCATTTATATAACACCATTCGACAATACAATCAATGGCTACAAACAAGGAGAATTGAAAAAAAAAATATAATTCCACACGTTCCATTTAGAACACTGCACACTTCGTAGAATTGACCCATTCACATGGACAATAAGCGATCAAGGAATAATGGTACATTAAGACCCCCCTGCACCGCACTTCATGCGACCACTCCACCGCAGTATACAAAATAAAGGCAGGCTGTAGTATAAAAATGCCAGTCCACCAGCAACATTGAACAAATCCGGCAATAACAACGAAGTAACGGCCCGAGCCGAGGCTCCTGAGCTTAGTTACTCATAAAGGGTTAGGCTAGGCGCCATCTATGAGTTATAAGTCCCAGATAACAAAATAGAAAATATAGAAATGAACATACCAAGTGTTCGACGGAGGACAATAAACATTCCGTGAAATTGAACAAAGAAACGTCAAGGAAAAATACTACGGAAACATCCCCTCAAAACAAGTCCAAGACGAATATTTTGACCTACGCCCAACTCGGGGCCCTTCAGCGGTTGACGTAAGGAAAAGTAAAAAAAGCACGATAATAAAAATCCTGCGAGACTCAAAACCTGCATTTCAAGTCCAAAAGCACAATCGTAATAATCCTGCGAGAGGTCTGGAACGGCGTCGACTAAGTCTATCAAGACATAAAGCAAGAGGACCTCACAGAAACAAAAGAAATCAGACAATGCAAATCGTGATAATTCATGTAAGTATCTTTTCGCATTAATCCTCCAACATTCAGTTCCACTTGAAACCAGCAACCATAGCTTATAAGAAAAATACGAAAGGCGAGGTGGATCACACCAAAACAGTAGATTATAATTTTGCTGTAGGATTAATAAATAATAATAAAATAGACGCAAAAGAATTAATCGCTTTTGTGTCTACATATTCGGGAGATTCTTTCGGATTCGGACGTAGCTGGTGGGGATACCCCATAAACGTAGCTGGTGGGGATACTCCACAGACTGTAATAATGTGGGAAAATATAAAAACATTATTAAAACAAGATGTACGGATTATAAAAAATTTAAACGTATTGATAGGTGAGTTACAAAATTTAAAAAGAAAAGGGAGATATAATAATTTTGTATTTGAAATAAAACAAAAAAATATTTCCTATCAATGCGTTAAGCCGAATTTAGTTAAATCACTTCAGCGACAATTCGTTGGAAGTCCAGTGTAACAATTCAAGAGATAATGATAGCATTACAGGAACTAGCACGACCGTAAATCAAGACAATGAGTCGTCAAAAGTAACGATTCATTGTTGTCAAGAGGATTGTGACGCTGGCATTCCATCAATAAATACCCACTGCAACGGTTAAATCGTGTCGTGTTCGAACTGGCTCCTTTTAATCAGGTAAGATAAAAAAGGATATGCTATATTTATATATTCCACCCACCAACAAACAGCAAACTATAAAAGAGTTGATGCTAGAATAATTCAATAAAGAAATATATGCGTTAATAATTCCTAATGATGAATTGTACTATGAAGTGTCAGAAACCTATAGGAAATACTTTGACCATAGTAAACTAAAATGAGTAAGATATACCAATTCTTTAATCGAAGTTAATGATACTTAAGAACAATTAAAGTTAGTTAAAAATATCATTTATATAAAAACAGACATGCGGGAATAGATAGCGTTTATTGTTAGTTGCATGAAAAATATTATTTTGAAAAAAAGAGAAAGATCAACAAATCATAAATAATTGTGAAATGTGTCAGAGAGAAAAGTATATTAGACATCCATATAATACTTTACCAACCGAAACAGAAACACCACATGAACTAATGCAAGTGCAATATTGATTTTATGTCTCTTGAAAGAGATTGGTATTTAACTATAATGGATATATTTTCTAAATACGCGATCATTAGGCCTACAGAAAAATCAAAAGTTTATGATACGTTGTATGAAATATTTGCATTAATAGGATCACCAAATAAGATAGTACACGATGGTGAGCAATCATTTTGTAGTGAAATACTAAGCGAGTTATTTAAAACATATGACATAGTTATTTATAAGACATATGACATAGTTATTTATAAAACATATGACATAGTTATTTATAAAACATATGACATGGTTAATCATACAACAACGTCAAAGCATCATAAGTCAAATTCAGATTTAGAAAGATCACATAATAATATTCAAGAATTATTTAGATTACAACACGATTCTGATTTAAATAAAAATCAAAAGATTAATTTTATAACCCATAATTATAATAATACACAGCATAGTTCGATAGGAATGACTTACGAAGTTCATTTTGGTAGAAAACCGAAACTTAGAAGTTTCGATAATTTTAGACTATTAGTTCAAAACTATATAGCGTAACATCGAGAATTTTCTAATGAATTAAATAAGATGATTTACTAATAAGACAAAAAGAATATAGAAATAACAGAATGAGTAAAAAATTCAAACAAATAAAAACATTTAAGATAGATGTCGCATACTTAAAGAATAGTATGGCGGAACGGCATAAAACAAAAAGTAGATATTTAGGGCCATTTAAGATAACTGGTGTAGAACCACGAAATAAACATAAATTAAGTAATGGTAAAATATATCACGTAGAGAAGCTTCTTGTTGCAGATTGCTGTTCATCTTCAGTAGTGGATACAGATTCAGACAGCTAGAGCCAAATGAAAATTGTAATAATAGAACAAAAGTCGACAAGAATAATCGAAGGCAAATGGACGATTCTACAAATTTAAATATAGAGCATAGGCTCGAATAATAGTAACGAAAATTTTAATAGTTTACAATTATTAATTAGACATGGTAAGTCTAGAGATAAAAATAATGATTTATTTTACATTTATCAACGAATTGATACTATTTTACAAAATGCAGTGGACTTACAAGCGAATAATTACGTAACAGAAATGGAGTTAACGTATGCATCAAAAATATCAACCAGATTAAAAATATTAAGCAAATAAAAGATTTTAAATACGAAAGCAGACATAATATGATTCAGTATGCTTTGATAGCTGCTATTACTAACATCTTAATCTTCATCTTTTCATCACAAATGTTAAGATTCCGTATTTGTTCAAAACATGGAACTTCGAATTTAGGAGGGGAGTCAGAGGTCCCAAATCAACAAAATAGAAAATATAGAAATGAACATTCCATGCATACCAAGCGTTCTACGGAGGACATTAAACACTCCGTGGAATTGGACAATGAAGCATCAAGGAATAGTACGGAAACATCCCCTCGCACCGCACCTAGCCGGCCACCCAGCAGTATGTTGTCGGCAGCGATATGCAAGACTAGCGAGTGATTGTTATATCAGTTTACGGGGATCCGCCCGCCTTTTTGTAATCTTTTGTAAAGTAGATAAAATATACTTTGTAAATCAGTTTTAAATAAATTATTGTTTTTTTTTTAACAACAAATCCAAGACGAATATTTTGACTCATACATTAAATACTCGGTGGAACTGAGCAATAAGCTATCGAGGAAATACTGACACTGTCTTGCACCGCACTCCAGCTGACCACCCAGCACAGCATGGAAAATGAAGACGGGCTTCAATATAAAAAGACCAGTCCACCGTCACCATACTTCTTTGAAATAAAAGTATTTTTTAACATCAATCCCAAGTCGGATAATTTGTTTCGTGGACGACCACACGTCACATGGCTGACAACGGTGGGAAACGACTTAAAAAGCACGCTTTTAACATCAGACGAAGCTTACGATCTTATCCATTGGAGAGTAAAAACGAAGAAGTCCGACAAAAATTAATGGGATAAGGACTAAAGTAAAAGTTATAAAAATAACTGCCTCATAACAATGTCAAAAAAAATATAACCCACAATTACTAATAAGATACTGAAACTTTGATCTTATAAAAAAAAAAATTATAAACCTAAAAAATCGTATCGAACAGATCGGATCGATATAATGCAATACGATCCATTACTATCCAAAGTATCGATACCTGAATCGGGCATCCCTAAACCGTGAGTGACAGCTAAAACTTCTATAAAATATTGTTATCCTTTTTTCTCTTTAGAAAGCAAAAGGGAAAACAACATTTATGGAAGCCAAACATTAAACAAATGGCACTTTGCAAGCTTAATATCCTATCGCGTTTTAAATATTTATCACATATGTACTTAACACCTAATAAGGTAAGCATATTGGGGCACCATATAAAAGCCCTACAGTTAAACAGGGTCACTTAACCTAAACGACAAACTCCATATAACACGGCAATGTTAGAATATTAGTTTTTACAAAGAGTTAAATGAAAATAAATCAACACTTTTATGGTTTGTATCTATATTATTATATTCGTTTTTATATTTGATTATTTCTTAAAGTTTTTATTTATGTGGCAGAAAGATGATATGTTTTTACTGCTCAAAAGAAAAATGTAATGTCACTGTCATTGACATTTTTGGAGGGAAGTAAATTTTTTCTTGTGATTAAAGGAACGACATATGTTGTGTTGAAAAATTAAATTGTGTTTCAAGGAATTGGTTAGGTTTTTTTTCTCCTAGTAAACACGGCCATTTTATATGGATTTGTCTGTTTTATGTAAATAATAATGTTGATGTGGTAATTTTAGTGATGTGTTCTTGATGATCTATCGACGAGTCGACATTCCCTCCTGAAATATGGGGATTATGTATGTAAATATCAGTTATATAAGTATGTTATTGTTAATATTTATTATTCATCGTTTTTATATCGAAGGTACAAAAAAATCTTTACTAACTAGTTAGGTAACTTTGGTTAGAAGAAAAGAAGAGCATTTTAGCTATGTTACCTTATCTTTTGAATCTTTTAAATATATTTACTTATTTGAATTTAGTGTAAAAGCGACATTAGCAGACTTCAATACGCACAACCCAGGCAAAACAAACAATTAGACATAATTCAAGCATTTTTAGACATTTTGTCGTTTATTGCAGTTTTTGTTTTGTAACTTAGTTATACATATTACGTTTTGTTAAAAGTGTGATAGTAAGAAGTTCGTATTCTCAATCTATAACTTTGGATTAACAAGAGTTGTGTTTTTACTAAACTTCAATTATATTACTTTGCCGATGACGTCACGAGTCACGCCGACGATAATAGAAGACGAATGTGGGCTGTCAGTGTGTAGGGTCATCGACAAAACTGAGCGTGGATTATTGTTTGTATATTTTAAGAGTATGCACACTTTGATTAAACTATCGCAGAACTATTTAGTCTCTTTGATTCCTATGTGCTTATATGGAGGAACACTCGACTTTAAGTTGTGCAACTAAACAGTTGTATTGGTTGCTAAACAATCGACAATCGCGCAGTTGTGCGATGGTTTAGTCAAAGGTGTGTGTTCTAAAAGAGAATGTGTGTTATGTGTCAGAATAGTGAATGTTGTGTGTTACCTTGAATATGTTTGTAAGTTCGTCGAGCAGTGTCTCGTAGCGGAAGGAGATGCGTATGTCGGGTACGTTGGTGCGCGTGATGTCGTTGCCGGCGACGCCCTCCTTCATATAGTTGGGACCGAGCCAGTACTGCTTCATCTTGTAGAGTAATAGAATTAATCACTCTTCCTTTAAACTTCTAAAGTCGTTGATTATTCTCTGATATTTAGGTAATACTAGCAGTCGCCCGTGGCTGTCAGCTCAGAATTGTGCGGCTGCTGCCAAAGGCCCAAATTTAGTCCCTTTCCCGTCCCACCTTTTTCTTATAAGGGAAGGATTGGATGGGAAAGTGGATTTGACGGAGGAGACGCATAGGAAGGGGAAATATCCTCTTTATGTGCGTCTCTTTCTCCGTCAATTTAGGGTAGGCAACGCATCTGCTATTGCGGATGTTTATGGGCAGCTGTCACTTCGCCATTTGGCGGATTTAGGTGGCCGCTTGCTCGTTTGCCATCTTTTTGTATAAAAAATAAATTTAACAAATAGCCTATAATACTAGGGTCTTAATTAGCTATTTTCGCATTTAGATCTTGTCTAACTACTAACAGGAATAACATGGACTCCTAGATAGACACGCAGAATATTGCAAAGTATTTTTTCGTTATTAGCAACGCAAAAACATAAAAAACACAGCAGTTGTGTGTACTAAATATGTTTTTTTTTTCGGGTATCATATACAGACACTCCAATTTGATAATGTATAGATACCTCGTGCGGGAAGCCTGACATGAGTACTGAGTTGCGCGCCAGCTCGCACATGTCGCAGGAGCTGAGCTTCCACACCTGCGCCGCGATGCTGTACTCCTCCATCAGCGGCTCCTGGGACACCATGTATCAGTACGTCAGTACACGCACAGTACCAATATAAATACCTAAATCTTCAGCAAAAGAACCGTAACAAAGAAAAGTGGGGCCATGTTGCACACTAGCGCCACTCGCAGAAATAAAACTGATGCTATTAAAAATATTAAAATGCCATATTTTGTTCATATAAAACCCAAAACTTAGTACTAGTTCACGTTAAATTTTTAGATCCTAGTCACTCCGCAAAAAAAAAAATTACTAATAACTAAAGACCATCATCATCATAACCAGCTCACTATACGTCCCACCGAGGGGTCGCAGCCTACCCTAAGTAAGTTAGGGTGACTAGACTATAGTCAACCACGCTGGCCCACTGGGGGTTGGTTGACTTCAAACATATCTTTGAATTTCTTCGCCGACTTCATTTTCCTTCACTGACGACCATTAGTTATTATTTAACGAGTGAATTGTGATAGAAAGTAACTTTAAAATACAATTTAAGCATTATTAACATGTTTATAAAGTTTTAATTTGTCTGTATACCTTGGTGAAGTGGAACTGCAGCGGGTCGTCAGTACTGAGCGTGATGCAGAGTCCCCGCGCGAGGAACTCCGGCAGCGGGTTGCGGTGGTAGTTGAGGAACAACGAGTTATTACTGAGAGGAGACATCGCTATAGAGATCTGTGCTAAATAGTACAAGTACTGCAGCACTGGCACCTGGAAAAACATTACTTGGTAATAAATTGGTCCTTCGAGCAGTAAGTTTAAATTAAATTTATTTTATACCTTTCTAAGGAGTAATCCGTGAGATATGTTCTCAGCGAGCATAAAGCCGCAGACGAGATGTTGCACAGGACCTGCTTCACCACAGTGGGGACGCAGCACAAATGTGTTTAAACCTTGTTCCCTAAAAGAATGATATATACACCAATAGTCTTGCTATATGCAAATATAGTGTGGGTAGTTATTAATATGATACTGACTTGCGGAAATGGTTGAGTACGGTGATGTTAGCGTACATATAGTATAGATAGTACGCGTATGGCGGATTTTCCTCGTCATCCCACTGACCAGGTACCTTCACCTCTGCATCCAACATCGGGTTTTCCGGCTTGGATTCATCATCCACGCTGTCGAAGCCAACCACGTGCTAGAAGATACCAATTACTTTAGACTATATAGTAACTGATTAAGGCACTAAATCGACTGATTAGAATCAACGAAAGCTGGAAATACTTACGGTGAGGAACTTATGCAGTTCAAGGTTGCTGTTAGGGTCATTGGTGACCTCAAAAAGCGGCTGGAAGATATTGCTAAGGAACTCCTGGAAGTTGTTCATAATCTTGTTCGACTTGAAGATGTCACTGTATAAACACAAAAAAAAAAATATTAAATTAGATTTGATACACCAAAAGAAAGTGGTTTTATAAAACTGGAGTAAAGTGGGGGGATTATTAATTACAAATGAGTTGTTCAACAATGCAATTCCAGACAAGGGCGGATCCAGCTTTGGCGCCAAGAGGGAGGGGGTCACATAGTCGTGGTCAAGTCAACCAGTTTTTCGGGGGTCATGACCCCCATGAACCCCCCCTTGGATTTGCTGGTGATTCTAGCCAACATCTAACAACCATGATTTTTTGGTTACTCTTTAACAATCCGTTTTGTTTTAAGATTAGTATACTTCTGCCAAAGGCTTGGTCGTTGAGTTGGTGTAGTTTTCTCATATTTAGAACATTTTAAGGAAATCCTGTAATGGACAATATCTGTAGGGAACCTGATACATTTTACGAAAACACTCCACAGTTACACTTGACATTCATACACAGCACACATACACACTTACATAACACGTACAATCACTCACACATATAAACACGGTGCACGACGAGTGGTCGAAATATAGTGCAACGCATCTATTTTTGTGACCTGTCATTGGTGCATTTAAATTCGCGACTGCACAGCTGACCGGGGTCATTGACCGAGCGGCGCGCGCGGACATTAACATTCTGTAGGCTAGTTGATGCCACCTGTGGTGTCGACGGGACTAGATCATTGATCCTATCTGCTATATCCGCCAACTCTTCAATCGTGGCAGAAGTATGTCCTGCCAAAACCGTTTGAGTAGTAGTAGGTAACCGGCTCAGCCAAACTGTTTTTAAAAAATCCGTTGAAATTTGTGAACCGCCTAAGCTCTCAAGATGTCGAAGAAATTGCGACGGCTTCCTGTCTCCCATCTCTTCGTGCTTTACCAGCTGCGTCAGCTTCTTTTCTTTGGTAGCCGTCAACCGTTTGATTAACTCGGATTTCAGTTTTTGAAATTTGTCCGTTGGGGGTGGATTTACTATTAAGTCCTTCACCTCCTTAGAGTATAGGTTTCCAAGCTGACCAATAGCATAATGGAATTTTGTCGAATCGCTTGTTATTCCGGCGATGCTGAACTGACCTTCGATCTGCGCGAACCATATTTCAGGTTCCTCCGGCCAAAACGGTGGTATACGAATTCCGACCTTACATACATGACCATAAGGTTCATTTTGCAGCGAGCGTGCCTCTTGAAAATCGTCCTCCGTGTTGCTCATTTTGTTCTTCGGGGTCACCAATGTGGTGGTAGGTAGTGATGGTGTCGCTGGGGTGATGAGTGTTGGTGCAGATTTTAAATGATGCGACCGTTATTCTTCAACCAATTTATTCACACCAAAAACACTTTCTCCACAACACAATATATATAATAAAAAGAAGTAGAAGGAGAGTGCAACACGTTATAAGCAGAAGAAGAGAAGAAACACAATAATAATAAGCTGGGATAACAAGAGCGATAATTAACAGTGGTCAGCGCGGGCACAGTTTGAAAGCGACTGTTAATTAACCGCGCGCGCCGCTCGGTCAATGACCCCGGTCAGCTGTGCAGTCGCGAATTTAAATGCACCAATGACAGGTCACAAAAATAGATGCGTTGCACTATATTTCGACCACTCGTCGTGCACCGTGTTTATATGTGTGAGTGATTGTACGTGTTATGTAAGTGTGTATGTGTGCTGTGTATGAATGTCAAGTGTAACTGTGGAGTGTTTTCGTAAAATGTATCAGGTTCCCTACAATCAATATAATGTGACTCCTATAACTATTGGGACTTATCAGAATTCGGTATTTAAAGGATCTTTTATTAATGGCAAACCGGTTGTGTTTAATAATACAAGAATAATGAAAAGTTTTAGAAGTTCCAACATTGGTTTTCTTCTATCTGCAGTGACACAAACAGATAAACAAACGATATATAGATACTGACTATAGCCGCGGTATCTGTATGAGCCAGCGCACGTTGTTGGAGTGCACGTGGTACTGTATGGCCCAGCGCGCCAGCTTGGCCCACTCGCCCGCGCTCTTGCCGTAAATACTCAGCCGGAGCTCCGCATTCTGGTACTTGCTCTCCTCGAGGTCGGATGCCACTTCCTAACAGAATAATGCTTATCATCATCGTATACGTCCCCATTAAGGAGCTCGGAGCCTACCTATTAGTGTGACTAGGTCATAGTCAACCACGCGGAATGACTTCACACATATCTTTAAATTTCTTCGCTGATATGTGCAGGTTGCACTTTGTTTTCCTTCACCGTAAGAACGTCGGGTAAATTATGTAAATGTGAAATTAGAAAAAAAAATAACATTGGTATATGGCGGGATTCAAAACCAGGACCTGTAGATTTAGAAGTCAAGTGCTAAAACCCCTGAGCCACCGACGCTCTGCTTCATAGAAATTTAATTTACTATTGCATTTATAAATTGTATGTTTTAAACATACTAATATTATACTCGTAAATAGTTTAGATGGATGTTAGTTTCTAGCCTAAACCGCTTAACAGATCCAGATAAAACGTGGCAAAGATTTAGAGGATAGTCTGGAAGTAAACGCCCCCAGGCCAGTAATTTCTTACTTATCATTCGGCTAAAGCGACTTGTAGATTATTGTTATTTATTTCTATGTTAATTAAATAAAAACGAGGCATGTGTGTGCCCGTTAATCTCAAAATAAAAGAATCAGATTTGTAAAACACTTTTATCCTCCAATAGTTCATCTAATAAGGTAAGTTATAGGATATTTAACATCACGCTATATACCTAAGGAGCTGAGTAGAATGAAAAAAATCTAAAACATGTCAAATGTTAGGCTAGTTCCTGACTTACTTTGATGATCCTCGCGAAGTATTTTCCATTCATATAATTGTCAGTCTTGAGGAAGACCTCGCGCAGCCTGCTCTCGCCTATCGGGTTGTATTTGGCGTTGAATTTGTCGAAGCGATGGAACGTGTTGCGGTCCTAATGGATGAAAATTATAAGGCTGGGTTTTCATTGTTTTAGAACATTTAAATTATACAGACTAGAACACAGTACTCTTAATCATAGACAAAACAATAAAATGTTGTGCGATTTTCGATTGTTTCGAAGTCAATTCAACTGTTTAGTTACACAACTAAAACTTAAGTAGCTTATATGGAGATTTATAAGCTCAAAGGAATCAAAGCGGGACTAAACAGTTGTGCGACAATTTGTCAAAGGTGTCCGCTCTAACAGTACTTACCGCGTGTACGTCGAGCATGTCGACAGTAAGGTCGTATGTACTGAGGTTCATGCTTTGGAATACAGCTTTCAGCGTCATCGGAGTACCCTTGTGCAGTGTTACCACCTTAAATACAAAAAAAAATAAAGTTTTTAATGTAATCTTCATAATTCGTTAGAGTTTTTGATTCGATAACTTCGTGAAATGCGTTTCCGAACGTAACTTGAATTTTACACCGTTGAAACATCAAACTAATATAATCAAGATAATCTTACTAATATTATAAATGCGAAAGATTAGATGGATGTTTGTTAGACTTTGTAGACTAAAGCTGAACGGATCTAGATAAAATTATGCGTAGTTGAAGAGGGTAGTCTAAAATAATGATTCTCAACTTTTTTTTGTTGCGGCACATATATAACGATTTCAAAATTTGGCGGCACACAAAGAAAAAGATAATAATTATTTACCTAAATAAATAATGTATGACAAAGAATTTAAATAAACGAAAATACAATAATAACTTAACGTTTATTAAGGTAAGTGGGTGAGAATCACTGGTCTAGAATCATTAATTCCACGCGGACGGAGTCGCAGGCGAATCTACTGACAAAATAAATGGATACTTCAGAAACACAGCATGTGTTGGTGTTTTACCTCATCCGCGTGGTTCTTAAGGGTCTTCTTAATGAAACGTAACAGATGTTTCTGATTCATGCAGGACGCGGCGTGGATGTGCGTGTCCACCTTCCTGCAAATGAACAAAACAAATTGGTGTAAACATTTTTGTATCGTCACCGCGTTCCTCATTTTGTTATCCCAACCGACCTTCTTCGACCCTTTGTTACAATCCATCCTCCTTCGCTCTTTCTTCGTCTTTTGAAACGCTTTGGTTCGGAATTCGAACTTTGAGTGGAGCGTTGACATACGCACGCGGGGCTGAGTGAGAAGGCAGTGTGAGATAGTAGTGAAGGAACTAACAGTGTAGTAAGACCATGTAATACGCGCAGCGCAATAACCAGGTAAGCCCCGCAAATATCCGCTTCTGGGAACTGTTCCGAACCTTACCGTCCTTTAGACCCGTACTCGTTATCCGACCTAATTTCAATACTATCCAAATGCGTGGGGATCCTCAAACACCGTTTGCAGATGCGTTGACTACCTTAAATTGACGGAAAGACAGAAAGGGGATATTTCCCCTTTTTTTTTTTATAACACACGAGCAACCGGCCACCTCAAATCGCCAAAATGGCGAAGCGACCGCTGCCCATAGACATCTGCAATTGTAGATGCGTTGCCTACTCTTAATTGATGGAGGAGGAGACGCACATAAAGAGGACATTCCCCTTCCTATGCGTCTCCTCCACCGTAAAATCCACTTTTCCTCCCCATCTTTTCCTCTAAAGAAAAGGGTGGAAAGGGAAAGGGACTAAAATTAGGCCTCCGGCACTACAATCATCAGACGAAACGCCGGAATTGCTTCCACTTCACGCCTGTTTTCTGTGTTCCCTTCCTAGGTATGCCCACCTCCACCAAATCTAATACAAAAGATATCCCATCCCTTCTTTATAAGTGAAAGATTGGAAAGAGAAAATGATTTTTAGGCCTCTATTGGCGAATTATCATAGTGTGCTTGGAATGTGTTCCTGTTGGTGTGTGTCATCTGTGTCTTCTTGCAGAGAGTTAACTAATCTCACAGATGTAGGCATCTACCAAGGGTTGGGGGCTTTAAGCACTTGACTGTGGTCTTGTTTGTATGTGGGACGTCACCTGATGTTATAGAAGTCCCTGTGCGGCACAGCCTTCTGTGAAGCGAGTTCCCGTAGCTCGTTCAGCAGCACGTGCAGCTGGAACTTGGACGACAGGTAGCTCAGCCGCCGGTAGCAGAACGACTTGCTGCACACAAAAACGCAAAAAGGACTGAGTATGTAGTTTAATATTTGGACTCGGATAAAAGAAGTCGCTGCACAAGGCATAATTTAAGGTATATTAACACGTTGTGGGACGAAGACTCTGCAGTGTGATATTCAAGGTCAGCCAAATATATACTATGCCCGTGTGACACTCAGGGGAAGAGTAGGAATCGAAGAACACAGAAATTGGTTCAGTGGTTTAGGCTACAGAAGACAACAAATTGACTGACCAGTCAATTACTTTATATTTAATATTATAATTTTGAAAGTTTAGATGGATGGATGGATGTTAGAGTTTGTAGCCTAAACGGCTGAACGGATTTCGATAAAATTTGGCATAGGCTACTCTGTTTTATTCTTTTCAATCCCACGCGAACGAAGTCGCGGGCGGAAGCTAGTATATTTATATTATTTATAATTATAGTATAATTATATAGAAGTGTACTTACAGTGGTCCATCAGCTATCATATTGCACATTGTGTTCATGTCCTGGATGTACTGGGTAAGCGTCACATACTCGTAGGGCACGCGCTCCTCCCCCGCCCCATCCCTCTGGCCCTCCTCCTGCCGCGGCCGGTACAGGTTGAACACACCATCATCCGATCTGATGCTGTAGCCCTTGGCTGCCGGCATAGGACACTCCCATGGGTCCTTGTCCCTGAACGGCGGGTGCACTATGTGGTCTGTACGGAAGGCACTTGTGGTTATTTAATGGTCAAACTAAGATGTCTACTGATAAACTGAAAACTAGAACAAATTAATTAAGAGCAGTGCACACCTTTAACAAAACTATAGCACAACAGTTGTGCGACTGTCGATTGATTCGCAGCCAATTCAACAGTTTGCACAATTAAAAATCGAGTAGTGTGAGAATTTTTAAATCAGCCCAGTAGTTTTTGAGTTATTTCAATAATAATAATAATAATTTAATAATTTTTTTATTATTAAATCAAGTAAGTTACAAATCAATCAGTTGTAGGGACTTCCTTTTAAGTAACCAACAGGCACTTGTGTTAATACATACATGTGTTGTCAATACATTCAAAAATCCGAAAATACCAATCTTTTTCACTTTATAATAATAGTATAGATTAGTGTGATGTTGTAATGTCTCACCAGCAATATGACTCCTCGGTACTTTAGTACTGGGCGTGTGGTTGGCGGGGGCATCAGCGTCCATGCTACGCACGAACCGCGCCGTGATGGTCGCATAACTCTGCTGTGACATTTCCATGTACCGCTTGCGTATCTCCAGCGCCTGCACCAAGTACGAGGAGGCCTGCTGCAGGTCCTCCAGCGGCACCTGCGAAAGACGCGCTCGACGTAACTAAGAGAAATCAAAGTGTTATGGACTGTTAGTGTTTGAGTGAGTGTTGAAAAGTTCTAGTTGAGGTCACGCGAGAAGTCCACATTTCTCTGGGGATGGTGAAACAAAATGAAGAAGTAAGTACTTGGTGTTCAGGTGGTTTATCTCAGTAATGGAACAGTCTGTTACCTGGTCTACGTGCATGTTATAATTAAATGTTAGGGCCTTACCCCCGATGTATCTTCTCCGCTGATGGCGACACGCTGGAAGTGAGGCAGCACGACGTCAAGCTCCTCTTCGTCGGCAAGTCTCAGCCGCGCGGCCTCCTCCAGCGCGCCTGCCTCGCTGCCAGCGAACGACCTCACAGACTGACCACATTCTGCTGCCCTAAAATAACGAGACAAAATGGGATCGTGAAATACTGTCTTTTAAAACATTATTGCGTGAACATAAATAGAATAAAATTCGATAGCCATTAATCATAACGCAAGTAAATCAGAAATGTGATACGTTATTTGTTTTGTAATCTCAACACTTGACTCGACAAATGTTATTTGCTTTGAATCATGTGTTTTTTTTAACTGGCTGCTACGACATTAGGATTTATCTTTCGTTAACTGTTTAACTCAAAAACTACTTCATCGTCAACGGTTTAACTCAAAAACTACAATACATAATAGATCAATCACGAAGGAAGATAGTGATGTACTCAACTAACGTTACTGGGAAGTTCTAATGCCTCTTAACTCGAATATTCCGACAGCATTAGACACTGAATTATCGCTAGCATAGTGGTAAATTTCTACATAATCGAACTAAGCAATTCGTAGTAAGGTAGGCGTTGCATTCTCGGCCATTGATACCGTAACGAGTGGGCGAGAGCTCACAGAACTCGATATGCGTCTTACATTGTATAACACTTACAATGATAACTAGTTAATAGCTCGTTTCTTAGAATCTACTAGCAGCACTATGGGATTGACATGTCTTACCCAAGACAAAAATCCCCCTTTACCTAAGATTATAAAAAACTTGTTAATACCATATTATCGTCGTAAACTCAAAAGCCACTTCGTTATAACAATATAAATAGACTTTAAACGTGCGTAACAACTGTTGTCTCGCTTTGATTTCTATGAGCTTATATGGAGGCACACTACTCGATTCTCTTTCCTTCAACTAAATAATGAAGTTTGCTGCGAAACAATCGACAATCAACAATGACACAACAGTTGTGCGATAGTTTAGTCAATCAAGCCCGGTCTTGTAAGCGGCAACAGTGGTACCTACAGCCCGCAGCATCAGTTGTTGCATGAAAAATCAGGTCGACGTTCTTATATTATTATTTTAATATATTATTTTAATTATATTATTATTTTAATAGAATATATTTTATTGCGTACACGAGTCGGCATCAGCTATAAGGCTTCGTGTCAATTTGCATGGATTAAGTCGCGGTTGGCTATTACTTAACACCACGCTAAGCCTGCCTGCAATAACAAAGAAAAAATCATAATTATTATGATAAAGATTTTTTGGGTATAACATTTCGTCAAATGTGCGATAATCTGTATTTATCTTATGACAGTAAAATCGATTTATTACAATAATATCGAGTATATTATTTACTAGAAAAACACAAGAGACAATTTTACGTTGTTCCTGGCGATTGTTTCTCTGCACCTCTTGCCCTCTTCTCTTACAAAAAAAAACAAAGCAAAAGAGACACGACCACAGACTAAACAAATTCGTAACTTACTATAACAAGCAAAATAAGTAATAAAAGCACGTAGAAACATTTAGTTTTTTTTTTTTATAAATAGTAAATAACATCTATAAACTGAAAAAAATACGTTTGAAAGTAGGCATGGGCTCCCGGGTGCAATAAATAAATATTTTATTGATTACAATAAAATTATTGTACGCCGAAAAGGAAATTAACAATATTAGTAAGTATACTAGTATGCTATTGTATTATCTGTGGTAAAAAATAAGACATATAAAACACCTGTAATTCCTTGTCGAAGTCCATCGCTTACATTCAAGTTTACTCCCAAACATAATAAAACGAAAACTGAACTAATTACACGCACATTTTAATTAGATTTTTTTTTTATAATAAAAAGCTAACCTATCACTTCCCGCCAAAAGATGACAGTTGTTTTTTTAATCGACGTTTAAAGCAAATCAACGCGTCATACAGCCGTCGCGACGCGAGCTGCGTTCCGAAATGCAATCATACTGCGAACGGAACCGTGGCGAGGATCCCCCGCAATAAGGGTTACTGTCGCCTCAAGGTTGATCCAATTACTTGACACTAATAATACCGGCTCCTACCGCTGTTTTACTTACATGTCGGACGCCCGTTTTGTTTCGTTCATATCACATAAAAAAATAACTTGACATTCAATAAAGAGGTCACAGCAAAGGAGACGAAATTGACTTTGTATGATTTTATTAGTTAACTAGCTGTTCCCGTGTTGCTTCATCTGCTTGAAATTATGAAAATTTTATTTCATTGTTTACATTTGTCAAATTATCAATAGCAAATGTCAAAATGACATGACAAACCTTGGCAATCTTGCTTCCTTGATGTTGGCAGCAACTTTTGGTCTCTTTCCCACATTAGGGTTTTTATTAAAAAATTTTAGCCCTTAAGGTTAATGGCGTGAAAATATATAGCCTAAAGCGTGACGTAAGTGTACGGCTTTTTATTTTAAAAAAGAATTATTTATAATGTGCTGTAATTGCTGACATCTTAGGCAACAAAGAAGTGTATGTTTACGCTTTATTATATTAGTATAGATGAAACAATTCACTTACTTTACATTAAGCTGCCTCTGTATGAGTAGTTTCTTCTCGATCTGTTCAATGGGGAACTGCGGGACCTCGTAGGGCGCCGACAGCTCATTGGGCAGCTCCCGCGGGGCCTCCGCCCCCACAGCGCTCGTCGGACTCTCGCTGCCTGCAACCGACATTGATTATTAAATTGTACCATAATTTGCACATATCTTACACCTAGTTCTGTAAGAATGAAATTAGGTACATAGTATATTTGTGTAAAACCATAAATGGGTAGAGTAAGAAATTGATCGAACTGCGCTTTCGCAGAACATGTTTGCTACAGATTATGAGAGTTTGTTGTTTAATTAAACAATTTATTAATACTTTTAATAATATAGGGTTACTTCTCATGGACATACGAATATTGCGACAATACATTTTTAGCTTAATGCAAACAGACCCTAAGAGATATAGATTACCTGTACACGTGCGTTGCAGAGGGACAGTACAATAAGAACAAGTTCTAACCCGAAAATCTGTCGACGAATGGGGAGTCATAAGGGGGGATACCAATAGGTCGATAGTACCCTTTTACAGTCTGCATTTTTCACATTCCATTTGGTATTTAACATAAAGAAATGTTTTGGTATTGTAGCTTATAGAAAAGATCTAAGCAGAAACTAAATACGCATAGAATATCAAGTACTTTGGCGAACTATAGTGTGTCTAAATAATTTAGATTAGTTTGTCAATTCGCTTTAAATTTAGTAGGATATCCATAGTTCAAAATTGTTCGCTATGCGTGTTTGTTTCGTCACTACGATACCTGTCTATTAAGTGTGGCATTTACTTTCATACAAATTGAATTCGATACTTCATATGCGTCATTTATCAAACTAATCTATTTTATTTAGACACACTATAGTGCTTTATTGCCTTTAGCGTACAACCGTAAAAGCGAACCAAAACCAAAGCAAATCCAATTTGGATATAAACCTGACTGATTTTGTTTATTCTTAAACGAAGCCACAATCAACATGGAATGAGCTCTGCTTTTTATTTTCGCTTTACGTTCTTGGATTCCGTTTCGCTTTCGCGGTAGTGTGGTAGAAACGTTACAATAGTTATTTGTTTAGAATAGTATCTGTGACGGTGACCTCCAACGACCTAATAGACAATGGATACACGCACGCCTTGCGAAGTACTGTCACAAGGTCGCAGTGGAAGTCGAATTAACTGTACACGTTTAATTAAAATTTATATTTTAATAGTTTAATGGGTCAGCTCGCCGGGTGCAATACCACGACAACACTGAAGACAGGAGTAAAGTGGAAGCAATTCCGCGTTTCGTCTGATGAGTGTGGTACCGGAGGCCCAATTTTAGTCCCTTTCCCGTCACACCTTTCTCTATTAAGGCAAGGATTGGATGGGAAATTGGATTTGACGGTGAAGGAGACGCATAGGAAGGGAAAATATCCTCTTTATTTGCAATTGCGGATGTCTATGGGTAGCAGTCTCTTCGCCAATTTGACGGATTTAGGTGGCCGCTTGCTCGTTTGCCACCTTTTTGTATAAAAAAATATCGATAGATGTCACTGCTGCAGGGATACTCGACGATATTGACTTTCGTATATACGAAAAAAATATCGAAAATAGTAAAAAAAACATACGTTGTGTTGGTTCAGGTTCCTGCGTTTCTGACTGCACACGAGACCTCACATGCCATAAATCCTTATCAAAACTGTACATATTAATGCTGTACCACCAAACTATTTTATAAGATTTATCACTTGACAACAGTTTTACACAAACATATTGTTTTTAACATTTGTCCTCTCTAAGGTTATCTGAATGTTGAAAAAAATGTCTCATGATGTTTGCGTGTGGAAATTTATAAACAATCGTGTGATAAGTATAAACTTATGATTCAATAGACATAAAAAATACTCATATTATTAAAACATGAAATCATAACAAATTAACAAAGAGAATTTGTATGATACGAGCTGTTGCCTGCGACTTCGTCCGCGTGGTATTAGAAAACATACGAACTATATAAATAACAAAAAGCTACATAACCCTCGGGAACCTGATATTTCTCGGGGATGAACCTCATCCCATGAGTATTCCAGACTTAGTTTTATATCTGTGCCAAATTTCAAAAGGATATGTTGAACCGTTGCAGAATGATCGAGTAAACATTAAAAAACTAAATTAATGAATCTCACAGGAACCGTAACTATTCCCGGGATAAAAAGTAGCCTATGTGTTCTTCCAGACTATGCTCTAAACCTGTGCCAAATTTCATGGAGATCCGTTCAGCCGTTTAGGCTACAAACGCTAACAAACATCCATCCATCCATCTAAACTTTCGCATTTATAATATCAGTAAGAAGTAAGATTTTCGTTTTCAAGGTTGCATAGGCGCACACCTTTGACTAAACTGTCGTTCAACTGTTTAGTCGCAATTTGATTCCTTTGACCTTATATGGAGGTGTGCACACTACTCGATTTTTAGTTTTCCATCTAAACAGTTGATAGGGCTACGAGACAATCGACAATTGTACAACAGTTACGCGTTTGTTTAGTCAAAGTGCGCATTTTAAAACGTTATGTTCGATTATGATAAAACGTGAGTCGTTAATTATTCTCAAGGCATTGAAAAGCTTAGTTCTTAATGCGTCAAGTTACGTGCCTCGAATCAAATAATTGAAAATTCTAATCTGGAAGAAATGTTGAAGAAATGCTTTCTTGTATAATAATAGTAAAGCCGGAAAAGTTTGTATGTTTAATACTGCTAATCTTAACAATTTTCCAAAGGATTTTCAAAATGCCTTTTTTGAGCTATTTTATATGCTACGATTTTTAGAAAATAAGCAAAAAAATACAAATGTTTAATTTAAGCAATTCCTACACCTAAAAATCATTCTTAAATAAAATAGTAAATGTGTTTTAATTTCAATTACATAATTATACAATTTGTAGATGAAACTACGGGGTACAACTAGTATACCAATGGCGTAGACGAACTCGCGTGTGGCGATAAGAGGTCACGCTCTCAGACCTCACAGGTCGTGCAAACAGCGCCACTGACGTATGTTGTTCTAAATTTACTTTCGCCTTAAATAGACATAGTCGTAGGTACCTATTAAAAATTGCATTCTATATGTTTTTTTTAGAAAGGACCAAACACGCGGCATGTATTTATATCCTTTGCCAATATGTATTCTTAGAGGTAAAAAGTTCTGCTTATTAATATGGATGTAGTTACAAAAAATATTGTTAAGGAAAACTAAGCTAAAGAACTTAGTAAACAAAGTTAAATTCTTATTAAATTGATGTAATTGATAGGCGAGGTAAACATGGCCAAGGATTTTAATTTTTATGAATTAAAAGTAATCATGTTCTATACGTAAAAATACTATCAATTAACGTATAACTACGTCTCAGTGATCACAGTACATGTAAACAATATTCCAACCTTAGAATAATAATGAATCCGAGAGCCTCACATGGCCTAAATCGAAATCTACTTAGTATCTATGCCACGTACGACTAACATGCAATTAAAAATTACTCGATTACTTAATTTATAACTTGTATAAAAAAGCTAGACACTTCTTTCATCATAAAAACATTCAGATTTCCATTTCGTATAAAATAAAATAAAAATGTTACTCGTGCACTAATTAAAAATACACTTGTCAACTTGTAACGCCACGATGAGAATTAAAAAAACATTAATTAAAAAGTTATAATTTGAATATGGAATGCGAATGCCACGACATGACACACGTATGCGTCACTCAGCGTTGCGTCGCCGTCGAACGCGCACTGAACCGGCCGACCGACTGACAAGACCCGATAATTTTTGCGTCGTCGGACGCTGTTTTGCCCCACGGTGGCCACTCGTTTCGGTTAACTCTGCGTACAATTACGTTTATGGACAACAGTTTAATTGAAAGATTCCATGCGGTATGGATTTATTCGTTTAACAGATATTTTTATAGAATTCGTCTTTGTAGTAATCCAGCAGTGGACACCCGCGATGAAATAGTAGCTACACGTAATACGACAGACAATAAAATACTATACTCGTAATACAATTTTGCATGCAGAATGTTATTGAAGAAATCAATGCCAAACTTGGCAACGAGTACAATGGGGCTGGAGTATGTTACGAAAGTTTGCTGTCTGGATTATTGACATTATCCAGTCGCTTTATAGACATATAGAGAGAACGGGAAAAATAAAGGAAATACGAAATGTGTTAATCCTAAAATTTTCAATTTGATTAATAAATAAAAGAAAGAGATAAGGAATAAATAGAAGTAATTCAACTATTCTTAAAATATCAAATAACACGTCTCGATAATTAAACATTGAACACATACATTTCTATTTACCTCAGACGGAAATATTTTTTAGAGAGATTCAACAAATTACCTTCATAATACTGCACGTTTAATCTATTATTTTACAAAAACAATGGTCGTTAATTTATTGTGTACACAAGGAAAAATTCCATTCGTGATGCAACATTAACTCATTTACTCTGAATAGGATATTGTTAATAATTTCGCGTCACCGCCCACACCTTCGATAGCTCAGTTGGTAGAGCGGTGGACTGTAGAGGTATCGCCACAAGACATCCATAGGTCGCTGGTTCAAATCCGGCTCGAAGGAGACTTTTTTACTAAGTTTTTTTTTTGTTATCTTTCTCACATACAAAATATACGAAGTAATATATAAAATATAAGAAGAATATAAGACGATTTCCCGCCAATACAATTTTTAACTTTTGTATAACTGTATTTTTTTTAGCTTTTATATCTATGGAATTTCAGTTTCCAGATTATTGTCTGTTTAAAAATAGATGATAAACCTTTCGAGATATACTTAAATCGGAACACATTACGTGAATAAAGATCAACCTAAGTCTGGTTTACTTAGGTATTGATCAGTATGAGGTGGTACATACATCAGGTAGGTAAGTGGGGGCAAACCCGTCTGGCCGCGGACAAGGCCGAGGGGAGCCTGTCTGGTTCTGCGAGGGGAGTTCGCGATTCGATTACTCCTATACTTTGTTACAACGATATTAAATTTATAGACCAAGTAATAATATAATTACATGCCAATCATTGACAACAATTTTTATGGAAATGAAAAGAGAAATCTTGT